TTTTTAAGGGCTATCAATATAATTATATAATCGTAATCATGACTAATCCCATGATTTCCAACCAGCTTTAGAAAGCAAATTTTCTAAATGTTACCTTTTTAATTATTAATAAAATTGCCTGGTAAAATGCAAAGAGCTTGAGTATATGCAATAGAGTGAGAGCTATTCAGCTCAAGATTCTTAATAGAGCTCATATTTCTCCCTCTCAACTTTTCCAAAAGTAAGACAGAAATTGGTAATCTTACTAATTGCTTGTGGTTATGTAACAAGATACAGAGGTTCTGTTTCTTTAGTTCCAGATCCAGCATCATGCCATAGACTGTATAAAAACATGGACGTAGTGTCCGTGACGTCACTCGTAGATTTCCGAAGATAGTTTTTGAAGCTCAAAAGTGAGCGGAGCGGGCCGTCGCCATCTTGGCAGCGCGTCACCGCGCGTCACTCCCGGATAATCGGAAATGGGCAAAGGAGCGGGAACAGGCTGCTGAAACCACGCCCACCTAGCTCGACGGTGGTGACAGCAGCGGCAATCCACCTGTTACTCAAGTGGCCATGCTCTTAATTATGCAGAAATTTAAGGCTTAATATAATTTAAACGGATGAGTTATAAAAAAATTCACCCCCCTCACAGTTGTCATGAAGGGCAAAATTAGCTATATAGACCAAAATAATTTTTTGAACCAGGCTGTAAATATGTTTTCTTCTGCTGTAAAGTTGGGCATTTTAACATGGGTAGTCTACTATGGGATTGACTCCCCTTTGCGGCCAGCCTCTAGCGGCCAGTTGATGAATTACAGTTTAAGTCACTTCCATGTTGGCTTCACGAGAAAGAGCGGGAGGTTGCCGCTTGCATCATACCTACTGGGTACGTCTTCTTCTATAGGTCTTGATAAGTACAAAATTAGGCGTTTTAATTTTCTTATTTTCTGTGCTAGAAAATGTATACTTTTACAATGGATCTCAGATAAAGTGCCCTCTGTTAAGATGGCATTGAACTATTTTTGAATACGTGCATTACCTGACTTATATGTTACATGATAAGGGTGGTGTATTTAATAAAATTTGGAAACCTTTTCTAACATATATTGTTGGTGACATTGCTTCCATCCTAACAAGAGGATTAATCTATAGGGATGGTTTATGAAGTCCGGGTTTTTTCTTTGAGCCAAAATGTACTTTGTTGTTCTTTTTCATTTTTTTTATTGTTTAATAAAAAATATTATTAATAAAATTTATATTTCTTACATTTTATATACTATTATTTTCATTAATTAAAACATTATTTTTCCTCTTTTTAAAAACCCTATTCTAGACGATGCAGTTGTTGAGGTAGTTTTGCAACTAGTAAAATCAGTGATAAAGTATGTACAGCCTACCGAAGATGAAACTGGCCTCTGCGTTTCTATTTTTTCTATCTGTTTCTATTTGCAAATTTTGGATACAGTCCATGACCACAAACTATCCAGACTATGATGTTTTGCTCTGGAACTAATATTATCCACATTCTCCAATTTACTTCAGCCTCTCTGCTAATGATAATCTGTGCTAACAATACATCTATTCAATGAAGTCTATCAGAACCAAATGTTTTCATGCATACTTGTGCAATTTATGAATGACTTGCTGATCTCTTCTGATCTTCTGTTCAATCAATCTTGATTCCTTTATGTGCAATAAAGATGCTTATATTGGCATGTTTACGGTTAAAGATTAAAGGCTATATGGCTTCCTCACTGGTAATCCCAGCAGATATTAGTGTTCCCATCGTTGCTGGTTGGGCTTAAACCAGTGGGTACAGGACTGGGGGAGGGCTGGTAGGGATTAATTTGACAAGTTATGTAAGCATGCCAACCAACTAAAAGGAGAGAGAAAGTTGGAGATTAAAGAAGATGGTGGAAATTTCAGTAGGTTTAAGGAAGCAAGCAACTGGGGAGGAGAAATTCTGTGTCCCTAGAATGCTGAGCTTTTCTGGAATGTTGATGGTATTTGAACCACCCACCCATGACAGAAAGAAAGTGTTTTTCTCTTTGTGTTCGACAGAAAAAGGGACAGAGTGGGAACAGATGGGAAACAGAACTGTTTAGGTTCCCCAATCGATCCCCTATTTTCTTCAAAACACTTTTTCACTCATGACTAAACAGTGGCTAATGTATGTATGCTTAAAGCTGATTACAAACATATGCTGAAACTAAGTAACATTTAAATAGATACAGATAAAAAGAGGCCAAATGAACAAAGGGAACATATTAAAAGTTTAAAAACTCAGTGTTCTTAAACAGCGAGAGATCATGCCATATGCATTATGTCTTAAACATTTTCTATTATGCTTTCACAAAAGTCAAGACTTTTTTCCCCAAACATTGCAACAGCATTCTGTTGACCAGTCAAATTCCGCTAAAGGCGTGCAGGTTTGCATAATAGGGTAGGTTTTAGTTTGCTCATCTTACACAACTTTAGAGAACCTGAGCTGCGTGAGGTCACAAAGGAAGGACAAAAATTATTTGGAGTATATTCAAAGATGTTAGTTCAAGAAAGCCGAACATTATATACTGATATTGCAGAGGCAAAAAAAAAAAAAAACACACTTGCAAAAGCGTAACGTACTCTTACATCAACATACATGAGTAGAAAGTATTGACTAGTACATTTGTATGAGCGATGTCGCCCCCTACTGTCAGTTCAACCCAATAACATTCATATTAAACTATGAGTGAGTGACGTGTGGCCAAGTATGGTGTCCCATACTCAGAACTTGTGCTCTGCATTTAAACCATTCAAGTGCACACACACTGTAGTGAACACACACACACACTGAACAAACACTCGGAGCAGTGGGCAGCCAATTTTGCTGTGGTGCCCGGGGAGGAATTGGGGGTTCGGTGCCTTGCTCAAGGGCACCTCAGTCGTGGTTATTGAAGGTTGAAGAGAGTGCTGTTCATTTACTCCCCCACCTACAATTCTTGCCAATACTGAGACTTGAACCTGCAACCTTCGATTACAAGTCTGACTCTCTAGGCCAGGGATGGGCAACTTCAGTCCTGGAGGTCCACTGTCCTGCAGAGTTTAGCTCCAACCCTAATCAAACACACCTGTCTGTAGCTTTCTAGTGATATTGAAGATATTGATTAGCTTGTTCAGGTGTGTTTGATTAAGGTTGGAGGATGTTTAGCTAGAAAAGCAGACAAAAACACAGAGGAAGATATTTATTTTTAGCAATGTCTGCAACATTTAATGCCAGGACTTTATGAATTTAAGACCTGATTTAAGACCTTTTCAGGTCTTAATTTGTGAAAAGGTGAATTAAGACTTTTAAAGACCTTTTCATGACCTGCAGAAACCATGGTTCATGCTAACTGTTTGATTGTCAGTATGAGACCACAAAACAAGCAGACCACATAATTCCTGATAAACACATAATTGGCCTTTATTAACACTGCCTTCCAGAAAAAGAAAAAGGTTTTCAGCAGCCATACTGTGAGATACCCACAGTGCCTGCCGAGTCTGTGACGCTTCCGTGGGTTTTGACGATGGTCAAAACTGGGACAAAGGTTTACATCAATGACAGCTTTGGTTTCCTGTTTGATATTAACAGTGACTTGCACAACAGGGCAGAGGAAGGGACGTGCCAGGTCACTGAGTAATCTGGAAACTTTTTAAACCATTTAACTGTTTCACAGTCTCTTGGGTGATACAGGGGGTCTCCAGGGATTCCTAGAAACAGCATAGCAATTCGTCACCATCACCAAAATTAACGGGAACTAAAATTAGTGAACAGGAAATGAGCAATTTTGTCCTGCAAGCAGATGACAGGGCACTTCAGTGGGGCACTTTGAGTGACTGGAAACTAGTACTCAGTTGGCTCAATAATGTCAATATTTACAAAAACAGAAATTCGATAAAGCACAATCATATCAAAAACTGCAAATCAAAATTGTCCTTCAGCAGTAATTAAAGCAAAGCCAGTTCAAAACAACTGTTGTGTTCACAAATATTTACATCAAATATATGCCATTCGGACTGTACATTCTCGTATATTTAAAGCGATTAAACAACTTATAACTTAGGTTTTTGTGCTTGCAGTCGATCAGAGGGCCCCGGATATCATAATCTAAATTAGTTGATGGAACAAATAAAAGCTTGAACAAAGTCCCTTGAACAAATACAAGCTTGTAGCAGCGCTTTTCCATCATGATATTCCTTAATAATGAAAAAAGCCCTGTGACCTCCATGCACAAGAGTGAAAACCACAATTTTGGGTGTAAAAGTGTGTCAGCCCAGCAAAAGGCCCGACAGAGCATTCAGGTCCCTCATATATGGGTTGTCGCTGAGGATACGGTCAATACGCTGCTTTTGGTCAGGAAAGATGTCGTACAACTTCCTTTTGAGCTCTGTGGTTTCTGAGGGTGACCGCTGTGGAGGTGGAGAAGGGGACAGTCGAGGAAGGTGCCAGTCTGGAGGTCCAGAGTGTGGCCAGTGGGAAGGGGAAGAGGGATGTGCTGTGGACTGCGCTGCCGAGGCGTATACTGACGGGGTTGCCCGAAGGTCTGTCCTTGGTGGGGCCATTATGGGACTACCTCTGTGAGAGGACAGAAAAGTTTGAGTAACAGACGAGACTAGGAATGTGTGATAACCACTGCTGGGTATTATTTTAAGGAAAAATGTTAGTTTTCGAACTCACCGACGGTCTTTAAATAGAAACTCATCTAGGTGAGGTCCATTCTTTCCAAGTGGGTCATCTGGGATCATAAAGTGATCTTCTACAAAGGTGAACTGTAAGAGTCTGAAAAATCCATACAGTGAGTTCTAAATCTGAGCAAACGTTAACTGAGCACACATAACACATCAATGTACACTATCGTTCAAATGTTTGGTGTCAATAAGATATGTTTATGGCTTCTCAAGTCTCAACCAGACCCTATTGCCCAAGGCTGCATTTACTTTCAAAAGTGTGAAATATTATTACAGTTTAAAAGAAGTTCATTAACACACACAGAGCTTACTGGAAGTGACTTACTTTAACCTTTATGGGCACTTACACATTCAACAACACCAACGTTTTCACACTCCCTCAAATTGTCTCCAAAAAAAGCATCAGTCACACCTGTCCTTTACAATGGTTTCATAATATAAGAATTATTCAAATGCTGAACTCGAAATACTAAATGCATCATTTAAAGTTTAGGCCATTTACTCATCATCATGTTTTTCATTATCCCAAGGAACACAAAAGGAGAAATTCTGAATGTTAATTTTCAAACAATGAAAGCAGCAGTGACAAGGATCTGTCAAGCCCCCTTCAAGTCTTCAAGCTATACGACAGACTCTGAGAAATTGCAGAAATAATGCAGAAATTTCAGTGTTTTTCACACAAAACTTTTGTGCTTTCAAACGACTTTCAATAGGCTACATTTATGGTGCTTTTTGGTAATTTTGGGAGTTTTACAGTAACTTATGCTGTCAACCAACTTCTAAATCTTTTCAAGGGCTGGAATCTAGAAAGCTGGGTGGCTGATTCCAATTATAATGTCAATATATATAATGAAATTAAATGATAGCAAATGAGTTGTACTCAGTTTTATTTTAGACAACAAAAGAACTAAAAAAGAAATGTTTTCTATCCATTGACAAAGCTGCCATTACAATTTGGAACTGACGAAGTGGGGAGATTTTTGAAGACTTTAAATTTGACCTTTGTGTAAATGGTTATTGCTAGCAAATGTCAAATATATAAAATCACCAAAAATAATGAGGAGAAGTGAAGGCTGGAACACACTACACAACTAAAATCTGAACAGACTGTAAAACACCAGGCATCATACACTTGCTGAATTTGGAAATGTTTACCAAGAAAAACTGGGTCATCATGAACTAATGGCGCTTTTCCACTGCGTGGTACGACTCGGCTCGGTACGGCTCAGTAAGGCACGGCACGGTTCGGCTCGGCACGGTTTGCGTTTCCACTGCAGTTCAGTACCGCTTTAGAGTGGGCGGGATTATTCACATGTCGTTATAGTTGTGCCGCATCTACTACCACGACTCCTAAAAAAAACAGTTTTCATTCCGCATCGCCCCATCAAGCTCTCGCTGGATCCGCTCCTCTGCTATCAACGAGAGGAACGTCTGTACTTCCGCAACAGACAACAAAACTTTTTGGTTGTTAAAAAAAAGGTGTGCTCGTTCAAAACAGTTGCGTTCGATCCATCTCTGGCTGTGCTGATTTAAATCTAGCGGTTCTTTTGTGTTTGTGTCGCAAGTTCAGTGACGCAGGTAGTGCCGATTCTCTCCGGCCAATCCGTGATCAGCAGAGTTTACACGTCACGTTTTGATAACGGTACGGTTCACTTGGAACCCCAACCGAAGTGGTACTAAAAAAAGTAGTTTTTATTTTTGTTATGATATGAATGTCACTCATCATGACAGTAAAATAGGGCATTCTAAGTCAATATACTGCAGTATTTCCTCTCTCAATCAGTAGAAAATATGGTTAACACCCTTTTTAAAAAAATAAATAAATAAATACATCGTCATGTACCGTGAAACCGGTATAATTTTGAAAAATACCGTGGTATTCACAGACTGGATGGAATCATAGTCTAAAGCTAAAAAAGTCTTTGCACACTATACACTAGGTGATTTCTTGTGAAATCTGTCAACTCCAACTAGGGCTGTCAATTTTTTTTTCTAATTTCGAATATTCGTCGAATTTAAAATAAAAATCCACATTTAGGCAGCCTTATCAGTGGTGCACTAGACGCGATGACGATGTAAGTGTCGTTGCATTATAATGTTTTTGTTAGCCTATCCAGTTGAAGCCACTAGATGCGGCGCTGCTGCGTTGTTCATTAAAAATATTGCGGAAAAAGAGAACATCAATGCGGAGAAGATCTTGTTTACATCAAAACGGAAACCAAGCCGTTCACACAGAACACATATTTCGCGCATTTTCTAGAGGGACATCTACTACCGTTGCACTTGCATCTCGCACAAAGGAGCCGCATGTTTTGAAAGCCATGTAAAATTAATGCAATTTAACATATATCGAGACTTTATGGTGGTTTTTTTTCCCCATCCCACTGCATCTCAATTTTTTTTAAATGAAAAATGTACTCTGTGTGATTGGCTTTCCACACTTTGTATTAAACTATGCATAGATACATGATGCTGTTTTGTTTATGGTTATTTAAGCAACATTATGCACTTTTTTCCACAGATAGTCATGTTATCTTATGCTTTGAATAAACGTACTGCATTAGTAATATTTTGCTCGATGTGCCCTCTTGTGGCCTCAGAAGAGAAGCCAAAAGCTTTTCTTCACCCTAACTGAAATTATGCTTTTTAAATTAGAATATAATTTAAATTTTGATAATATTTAAGTACAAAATTTGAATTTAGTTTTTCAGCCATTTTGACAGCCCTAACTCCAACTGCTCTAAATCTGCAGACTGCCTATGAGTTTCTAGTCAAATTGTCTACGCTGTAAATTGGAGCAAAAATCAAAAGTTTTGCAGTGTATTGCAGCCTTAAATGCACACTGAATTTACTGTTACTGTTTGAAATAATCTTTCACATTCATGGAAGAAGGAGAACCGTCACTGCCCCCCAAAATTATACAGTCTGACTGAGACTTACGCCATTGCCACATTGCTCCCATCGATGATGATGTGTCGCAGATCTGAGCAGCCCGGTTCATTTTGTAGGACTAGTCGGTAGGGGGTTCTCAGGGACTGCTGGAACCGAGATATGCCGGTGAGGGGTGCTGGTTTAGAGGTGCTATGTGCCTCAGAGCGAGGTAAAGGTGCCCTTCCAGGGAGCGTCTGGTAAGAGCATCCTGGTCGTGTTTCGGTGCTCCGGAGAGGAGGGCCTTGAGAGGAGCTGCGGAGATTGGTCACACTCTCCATCCGGACTGGAACCATTGTTTGAGAGCTACCACGGGGCAAGTAGTCAAACCGGGACTCTGTCTTCAAATCAAGTGCAGCCATTCGAGGCTTCCTCTCTGTCTCTGTGAAGTCGTTATCATCGTCATCAATGATGATCACTTCACACACATCAGTCTGTGCACCATTGTTTCTTTTAAGAGTGGCAGAAGCCAGTGGCACACTGCTTGTCTGGTTCTTCTGACCTATGCCATTAGTGCTAGGTGGTCTAATGTTTTCTTTGCTCTTGATCTCTGCAAGAGCTCGCATCTGTGCCCGTTCCTTCTCTTTGAGCCTGATGCAGGTAGAGGTGGACAAGGCGTTTGCGCAGGGCATCGGGTCGGGAGTGCGAGAAGTGCACTGTGTTCCTTGTGTTCTCTGGGTCTTTTGAGTCTCTTCCACTATTCGTTCCAGAAGTAAAAACGTGTCTTCTGTCTGCCCCGTCTCACGCACCACCCGCTCCACCACCTCCTGCTGGTAGCCCATGGTTCGGAAGAAGTTAACAAGACAGCGCAAGTTAGTCTCAGGACTCACCACCTCACTTTCATTTGTCAATTCACTAGTTGCTAGCATCCCTTTCGCAGGCGCAACTGTCCAAGTTTGGCTTGGCTCTCGCTGTCGCTCATCCAACTGCTCCTCTTCTCTCCTCTCCAATGAGTATTGCCTCTTAGTGTCCCTCTGCTCGCTTCCAGAGGACCGCCGCTTGTTGCAAGGCCGACCATTCAGACCAGGCATAACATCAGGAGTGGTGGCAGGACCTGAGGTTTTATCCTCAAACGTGGTGTCCAGGATACGGTTGGAGAGGTCTGTTACAGGTGTGCTAGTCTGGGAGCGGTCCTGCTCAAGGTCTATGATAGCTATAGGCTGCGTGGGGCTTTGGGCCAAGCCCAAAAGTTCCTCTTTGAGGGCAGTGGGCAGCAAAAGCAGCTCCATGGCATATTTATCAGCCCGGTCCTCCACAAAAGTCTTAAAAGTGCGCTTAACCAAGGGCTCTCTGTCAGCCGGCAAGCTTCGCTTCTCCTGAAAGAGAGCGACAAACTGTTGAACACGACTTTGAGCCATGACGACAGCCTCCGCACGCCCGCTCAACCTCAGACGACCCGGCTCCAGAACTTGGACCTCTGCACTCGTGTCTCTAAGCAGCCGGTCTAAAAAGAGTCCACGAGCACCAGCAAAAATGCAGTGCATGTCCACCGGGTACCATTCTTCCTTCTGAAGCTCTGGGTCACATAGTCCTTTCACATACTCCTGCAAAACAATCACAGCAGGACTGGATTACAACACATACATTGCGAAAGATAGAAAACTTCACTTCTAGAAGGAACAGGGAGACTTGACAACACAAGCATACCACTCTAGAATAATTATTCTCAAGAGAAAAACCAGTCAAACTGGTTTCATTATTTTAAACTAGCATGCACATAAGATTTGCCTTGAGGGACCAAATGACCAAGGCCTACATCATCTTTCTAGGGAGATTCCACATGCCCATTATCATATCGATGAAAGTGTGAATACATATGCAAGTATGACACCGCAACCAAATGTAGACACACAGAGCTACAATGCTTTACATTTCACAATGTTCCAACACTGAGTACAAGAGAAAGTATTATATCCTTAAAAACCTATTTTCTGACTATAATTATTAATACGCTATTAATGTGATACTTATTAAATACTTTCAATTATAAAAGTACTTGTGGCTGATCTATTAATCAAAATAAAATCAAAATCTAGATATGGTTTAGTGAGATTACCAAATTGCAAAGGCTGTGTTTTGTTTATATAAATATATACTTGGCGTTTCACAGTGAAGTGCGGCACAATGTTAAGTTACATGCGAACATCTCATTATAGTGCTTCAGTTCACAGAAAATGCTGCTTCACACAATCTCCATCTCTTTAGTGTTGTGAGTTTAATATTTCCTATTATATATATATATATATATATATATATATATACACATACAAATTATACTTACACAATTTTTATCAGAATAACCTTATTTGCCCAAATCGTGCAGTACTGTATTTTAAAACACGCTAATCTGGTTAAAAACAATGGGGATAAATGGGCTTCTTTGGAATTTCTTTAACTTAAAAGACATGCTATTGATATGATTATGTGGCTTTGAGTGAGTGGGTGAGCCTGTGTAAGCAAATAACTACTAGTTCGAAAGAAAGAACAACACAGGAACCCCTTGGGGTGGACCATTCTGCCACATCTTTGCTGAACTTTTTCTTTCTTTGATTTGATTTCTTTGCTCTGAGCGAGCAGGTTACGGTAAAAGAAATACTCATATACAGTACCAGTAATGACACCAGGTTAAAAGCCACTACTCTGAGTAGTAACTAAAACCGAAAGTGAAATACACTGGGGGCCTCCCATCTTGTCCTGACTAAGCAAACAGATCTGTCAAAGACTCATGAGAAAATTCATGACACAGTTTGGATGAGAAGCAGATACTACCTCCTATCTGTTTTTTTTATTCAAACGGGAAGAGATATTCAAAAGTCAGTGAGATGTAGAGAGACAAGAGGTTTTTGCCTGTCAATGTGATTTCATAGAAAAGACACTTCAGTTTTGTGGTTATAATATTTATACCTGTGAAAAAGAATTACAAATATTAAAAATGTTTTGACAAAAAGGAAGTGCACATGGTGGCGAAACACATCCACTGAGTGGTTTCCGTTTCATGGCTTAACAATAAGGATATTCCAGGTTTACTGGCACTGATGGTTATAATTTCCTTATTAGATCTGACTAGAATTGCAAACAATGGCATGTCAGAACTAGGTGATGACGCCACGCGTTCAGTGAAAAACCATGTCTTTTGTTGCTGTCTTGGTAACTAATTTTTTCAACACCACATTAACGGGAAGCATCTATGTGAAACTGTACAGTGTTGGATCATCTATAAATGTGTGTGAAAGCTTACTAAGGTGTTTCTTTCTGCTGAGATATTATGAAATGCACCGAAACATAATCCTTTTAGATTGGCTATAATGGAATGGATCTATGTGGTTTGGCAGCAGTTTTTCCCAAATGACATAAAGCAGAATTGTGATGATTTATTCAAGTAATATGACTTACAACTGCGCAGTTGTACTGAGTCTCAGCACAGCTGGGATTTGGCCAATGTGATTCACAGGTATGAATCACAGCCATGCTGATGCTCAACACTAAACTATGATTGTGAGTGTGATGATATCCCTTTTCTAGATCAGTTCAATAAACTAGGAAATAATATCAATTAACTTATGTTTCAGACAAAAAACTGGGCAAATTGTAGTTGTTTATCTTCTCGGCCCAAAGTTCCAGTTAAGCCAAAGCATCAAGCTTTGCGTATCACCCAGAAATGTAAAGACTAAAAGCCGGTCTGGATCAGGGAATGTGAGTGGAGCAGAGTGACATTTTCAAGTTGTGGAAAACAGAAAATGATTGTTAAATATCAGTCCTTTTTGAAGTTGTTTGACAATTAAATAATAAAAAAAGATTGATCTATTTAAATAAAATAAAGATTGATCAAATATTTTTGTGAGGACAGCGAGACACAAACGAGTCTACAGCATACTACAGACCTTTGTTTAAATGTCAAATTAAGACAAACATGTTGCTGTCAGACGCAGCTGAGTTCATTGACATCAGCCTCCTCCAGCTGTTACGTAGCAACTTAAGTTAAGTTACGTTAAGTTCATCAATTTCCCTTCTAACAGTCGAACAACAAAACAAAAAACAAGCAGCAACATTGTTTAAGATAAATATTTTCACAATTTACTTTCATTTACCTTCGCTTTTGACACATCCTCCTTTTTTCCCTTCAGCTGGAGCCAGATCTGCCTGGAAGCCTTACTTCCGTGGGCTCCAGTGTGATCCAAGAGCCCAATAATCGTGAATGTCACTTGGAAAACCTGTTCGACTTTCGGTTTGCTGCATCTGAGCTCTGTCTGCTTGTCCTCATGTACCGTGAACTCGTCTACGGTGAGCGGCTCGGACTGCTTTCTGCAGGCGGTCGGGGACTGCCTGCCTCCCGGCGGCTCTGTGCAGGTTACCTCGGTGATTCGCTTCATCCCGAGGAGGGGCCGCGTTGTTGACATTTTATTTTTAGCTATATCAATCTATGTAGATCACGGCGACTTCACTTTCAGAAACACCCCTTGTAAAATGAATCGTTTACCCCCTTCATGTTCGACTTCCCACCCTCCGACTCTCGACGTTAGTCAACAGCGCTGTAGTATCTGTGTTTCGACGTTATTCGGTTAGCCTGCTAGCCTACATCTCAAGCCGTCGCACCCGGAAAACCCCGCGCACGTCATCAGCAGACGACGACGTTTGTTGAGATGTCATCGCTCTGATTACAGATAAGAGTCTGTTGCACGGGGCAACCATTGTTTATGCCAAAACACATACTGCAGTTATTGTTAATAAATAAAAATAGTGTGAAATCATGCTCTTTAGCATGATCATCAGGTGCTGCAAATACTAAGAAACGGTGAAATTTCTGAATTCAGTTTTTTTTTTGTTTTTGAAACAACTCTTTCATGCTCACAAAGGCTTCATTTATTTGATTAAAAATATGGTAAAAATTGTAATATTATGAAATATTATTAAAATTTAAAATAACTGTTTTTAAAATATATTTTAAAATGTCATTTATTTCTGTGATGGCAAAGCAGAATTTTCAGCAGCCATTACTCCAGTCTTCAGTGTCAAATAAATAATTCTAATATGCTGATTATTAATATGCTCAATTATATATGCTCAACGGGTACTACCAACTAAGCAAAGGATTTAATTGATCAAATTAAGAGGCAAATTCTTTTTATTGAAATTCAAATTTTTATTCATAATTTCTTAATGAAATAATAAAATAGTAATGGCTTATTTTATCATTAAAGAGAAGAACGGACAAAACAATTGCACCCCTATAATTATTCCTTAGTATTAGTCTTATTATTTTTATACCCAATCATGTGATTAAAACTGTTTTTCATTACTATAGTATATAAAGTGTTCCTTTAGAATTTGTTCCTTCTGTGTTTCATTAGTTGTTCTGTGCCTCTCTTCTTTTCCTTGCTTCTCATAACAAGTTTTGCATCTGCAGTGTCTTCATCTCTCAAAAGACTTGATGGCCCCGTGGCCTTGACAAGAGGAAGGAATGTTCTGGGCCCCTATTCTAATCTCTCTTTATTCCCTGGAAATTCCCTGTAGATATTTATGTTTGTGTAATCAATGTGTCCAAGGATAAAAACACATGATCCTGATGGTCCAACTGGATGTTAGAAAGGAGGACTATCCTTTGATTTACCACTCACAACTGTTTCAAAAGTACAGCAATGCTTAACTTATTATTAAATGGATAGTTCACCCATCCTCATATGGAAGCCCATTTCCACTACGTGGTTTGGTAAATCATAATGACATAAAACTTCATAATTATTACAAGTCTAAATTTTCACACTTTGCAATCTAGACTTTTTAATATTTGCTCACTCTTCTTTGCAGAACTGCTCAAGTTCAGTGAAATTTGATGGTGACCATTTGTGGACTGCAGTCTTCAAGTCATTCCATCGATGTTCAATAGGGTTTAAGTCTGGGCTCTGACTAGGCCATGCAAGGACATTCACCTTTTTCTCCAACCACTGTGTGCTCAGTTTTGCTGTGTGCTTTGGGTCATTCTCATGTTGGAAGGTAAACCTTCTTCCCATTGACAACTTTCTGGCAGAGGGCAGCAGATTTTCCTCAGGAATTTGACGGTATTTTGCCCCATCCATTTTTCCTTCTATCCTGACAAATGCTCCAGTCCCTGCTGCAGAGATACACCCCATAACAGGATTTTACCACCTCCATGCTTTACTGTAGGAATGCTGTTATTTGGATGGTGAGCTATGTTGGATTTTCACCAGACATTTCGTTTGGTGTTGATGCCAAATAATTCAAATTTGATTCTCATCTGCCTCAGAATCTTCAAGGTGCGTTTGGGAAAAGCTCAGTTGTGACTGCATGCTGCCTTTCTTGAGGAGTGGCTTTTTTCTTGCAACCCTCCCATACAAGCCACATTTGTGGAGAATTTGTGATATTGTTGTCACATGCACACAATGACTACTCTTTGTCATAAATTCCTGCAACTGCTTCAGAGTTGCTGTAGGCCTCTTGGCAGCCTCTCTGACCAGTTTCCTCCTGACCCAGGGAGGGAATGTGTTGTACCAAATACCTTCCACTTCTTAATTATAGACTTCACTGTGCTTCTAGGCATTGATAAAACCTTTGACATTTTTTGTATCCATTTCCTGACTTGTGCCTGTCCACAACTTCCCAGAGATATTATCCCAGAGATATTTTGACTGTGTCTTGCCACCCATAGCTGATTGTTTGCTTCAGTTGCACTACCAAGGACTGAAATGCTCCAGGAAAGCTCTTTTCATGCTGAGCTAATCAAAATGACCA